ATGCTAAGTGAAATAAGTCAATCACAAAAGGACGAATCACTGTTATGAAAGGTTAAAGAAATACAGAGAGAATCAATCTAGTTTAATTACTAGAGAGGATAAAGGAGGGGGAGAAAATGAAAAGGTAACAAGCACTAGAAGCAGAGAAGGACAATGTGGAATTGAATGCACAATACAACACTGAGATTACAGAGTTGCTATTGTGGAACAGAAAGCGCATGAATGATTGTTTTCAGATAGGGGGAATCCACCAATATGCTTTGTAAACTTTCATGAAAAACACAATTTTTTTTTAAAAAAGGAAACAAACTTTATGCTGTGTGTTTCCATTCTGTACGAGGAATATGAAGAAGGCCAGGACTGCATCTATTTTGGATACCATTAATGCTCAATATTAGCCATAATGAACAAAACTACCAACACAGTGCCTAACACAGAAGGATCCAGTACATTTAGTAAATAAGGAATTAAGAGTTAGAATCAAATGCACATATTCTGTGTTAATCTGTTTGCTTCAGACAAGCTACCTTCTAACCATCAAGAGTAATACTTGAGGGTCCAGTCACTCAATCTCTGACTCTATGGAACACCCAAGCGGAGGCTGAATCAAATGTTACGATACATTAGTGTGGATACATGCAGACAACCTCTACAAAGCATTCTAATATGTGTTATATGTGACAGAGGTTTTAACAAAAGGGTCACGATGACTAAATAGTGTGACACGGCTTAAAAAAGTGTACCAGTAAGTTTATGTACTGTACATACTGGTTACTTAAGGTTTTGATGAGCATTCGAAAAGGGAATGAACAGTTTGTTCATCCACAAATACTATGATTCAGTAAAATCTGTGAAAGTTGCAAACTGTAATTTGGGAACCTGTCAGAAAAGGAAAATACAAGTATTTTCCACTAAAATAAACTGCAGAAAAATGGTTAAGACTCCATTCTGCAAAAGGTGGAAAACTAGAAAGACCCAGGAAAAGGCAGAGCTGTTAAGGTCTGGCCCTCATGTTGCACGGTAGCTCTTTTCCCCCAGTATATGAAAAATGATCATAAATATGTGCATATTTATGAGGGAATAGCTAAGCCAAAAGGTTGAAGGTACACAGAGATTTCTGCTCAAAACTGTGTATAAGTCTGTGAGATCCTAATACTTATAGGATTCCTATAGTGGGATGGGCATTCTTAGAAAGACCCCATCATAGAAAAGGCTTATTTACGGTTTGGCCAGAAGTCAAACCTCTCAGTGTCTACATAGAGTTTAAGGATCTTTAAAAGATATATTTGACCTCTTTTCCAGTTACTGTAGCACTAAGAACCATGAGCAGCAAAGTCTCTCATGACACCCTCTATGAGGCGGTGTGGGGAGTCCTGCAAACACAGAAAGTTTTTGGAAATGGTGGAGCTGCATATCAGTTTGAAGAACTCTGACCCTCAGAAGGACAAGCGCTTCTTGGGTACTGTCAGGGTTAAGTCCACCCCATGCCCCGAGTTCCCTGTGTGTGTTCTTGGGGATCAGCAGCACTGTGATGAAGCCAAGGTTGTGGATATCCCCTACATGGACATCGGAGCACTGAAAAAACTCATTAAGAATAAGAAGCTGGTCAAAAAGCTGGCCAAGAAGTATGATGCCTTTTTGGCCTCTGAATCCCTGATCAAGCGGAACCTAAGAAGCCTACGTCCACGGCAAAATAAGGTTGGCGAGTTCCCTTCTCTGCTGACCCACAATAAGACATGGTGGCAGAATCAAATTCCAGATGAAAAAAGTCCTGTGTCTGGCAGTGACTGTTGGCCATGTGAAGATGATAAATGATGAACTTGTTTACAACATCCACCTGGCTGTCAACTTTCTGGTTTTAATGCTAAAGAAGAACTGGCAGAATGTTTTCCAAAATACTTGATTGACCAAAGCATATTAAGAAGGATATCAAGAGAACTATGGGCAAGCCCCAGGGTCTGTACTAAGATGTTGGTGTTGTTATGTGCCATCCAGTCACCTGTGCCTCATAGTAACCCTATGTACAACAGCCCTAAACTCTGCCCTATCCTGTGCCAATCTCATAATCTCTGACTCACCTACCCCATTACCCCAGTCACAATCAATCCACCTCAGAGTGTCTTCCTCTCCTGTGCTGGTACCTCCACTCTCCTAAGCACGACGTCCCTCTCCAAGAACTGGTCCCTCCTTGCAACATGTCCAAAGTATGTCAGATGAAGCTTCAGAGTCCTTGCCTCCAAGGAGCAGTCCCGTTTCACCCTCTCCAGGACAAACCTATTTGTTTTCCTAGCAGTCCATGGTATATTCAATACTCTTCTCCAACATCACAACTCAAAGGCATCAATTCTCCTTCTATCTTGCCTAGTCATTGTCCAGCTTTCTGATGCACAGCAAGTGACTGAAAAGACTATGGCATGTATCAGGCGCACCTTAAGTCTCCAGACTGACATCTTTGCACTTCAACACTTTAGAGAGGTCTCTAACAGCAGATTTTCCCATCATAATATGTCTTTTAATTTCCTGGCTGCTGGTGCCAAGAGTGTTGACTGTGGAGTCAAGCAAACCAAAACTGTGAACAATGTCAATCTCTTCACCACCCATTATGATGCTGCCAGTTGGCCCAGTGGTGAGAATCTTTATTTTCTTGACATTGAGTCTCAATCCATACTGAAGACTGCAGTCCTTCACCTTGCACAGAAAGTGCTTCAGGTCCTCCTCCGTTTCAGCAAGCAGGGTTGTATTATCTGCATTACCCAGAGATTATGATTCTTCCTCCAATCCTGATGCCACATTTCTCCTCATAGTATGGAGACAGTATACAGCCCTGGCGTACACTCTTCCCAATTTTGAACCATACAGTGTTTCCCTTCTCTGTTCTGATGACTGCCTCTTGGTCCAAGTACAGGTTTCACATTAGCATAATCAAGTGTTCTGGAATTCCCATTCTTCTCAGAGTTAGCCACAGTCTGTTATGATCTACACAGTCAAATACCTTTGCGTAATCAATTGTGCATTTCTTGCTCTCAAACAAGATCCATCTAACATTAGCTACAATGTCCCTAGTATCGTGGCCCCATGTAAACCCAGCCTGCACTTCTGGTAGTTTTCTGTCGATGTGCTGTTCTAGTCTTTTCTGGATAATCTTCAGCAAAATCTTGCTTGCATGCGATATTAAGGACTTTGTTCGATAATTTCCATACTCTGTGGGATCACCTTTCTTTGGAATGGGAACAAATATAGATCTCTTCCAGTCATTTGGCCAAGTGGTTGTTCTAGTCCTGGCACTACTTGGTGAGCACATCTAGGGCAGCATCTGTTAGTTGAAATATGTCAGTTGGTATACCATCAATTCCTGGGGCCTTATTCTTAGCCAATTCTTTCAAAGCAGTCTGAACTTCTTCCTTCATTACCACAGGCTCTAGCTCATATGTTGTTTCATTAAATTCTTCTGTGTCAACCAATTCTTTTGTATGACTCTGTATACTCTTTTCATCTTCTTTTAATACTTGCAGGATCACTCAATATTCTGCCCAGAGTATCCTGCCTCTTCAGTTCCTTGAACTTAAATGCTGAGTTCGGCCTCTTTGATTTTCTGACTCCAGTACATTTCATTATAACACTTTACTTTGTCTTGTCATGCAGCCTTTTGAAATCTCCTGTTCAGCTCCTTAATGTCATGATTTCATCCTTCTGCTTTGGCTTCTCGGCACTCCAGTGCAATATTCAGAGTGTCTTCTGACATCCATTTTGGTCTTTTCTTCCTCCTCCGTCTTTGCAATGACCTTCTGCACTCTTCCTGGATGATATTCCTGGTATCTTCTCATAACTCATTTGGTCTCTGCTCATTAATGTTCAAGGCCTCAAACCTGTTCCTGAGATGGTTCTGAAATTCAGGTGGGATAGACTCAAAGTCATATTGGCAAGATGAGATGGACTGGCATGGGACATTTTGAATCAGATGATCATATAATCTATTATGGTGGAGATGAAAAGATGAAGAAAAATGGGGTTGCTTTCATAGTTAAAAAAGTAATTTCTAGATGTGTTTTGAAATATATTGTGAGTGACAGGAAAATATCCATATGCATACAAGGAAATCCAGTGAATACAACTATCATTCAAATATATACCCCAACAACCAGAGCCAAAGAGGAGGAAATAGATGATTTCTACCAACTTTTGCAGCCAGAGATCAATCAAACTTGCAATCAAGATGCATTAATAGGGGAGCTCTGGTGGCCTAGTGGCAAGGAGCTGCAACTACAATCCCAGAGGCGCACGGTTTGAATCCACCAGATGCTCTGCCGGGGAAGGAGGGACAATCTCCTCCTGTACCAGTCAGATCTGATTTGATGACACATACACACACACAGAGAGAGAGATACATTAATAGTGAAGGGTGACTGGAATGCAAAAATTGGGAACAGAGAAGATGGATCAGTGGTTGAAAGCATGGACTTGGTGACAGAAATGAAGCTGGAGATAGGAAGATAGAATTTTGCATAATCAACAATTTATTTGTTGCAATACATTTTACAAGAAACATAAACGCAGGCTATATACAGGGATTTCACCTGACGATATGCGTAATAATCAGATAGATTACATCTGTGAAAACTAGGCCTGGTGCTGACTGTGGAACAGATCACCAACTACTCATATGCAAGTTTAAGGTGAAGCTAAGGAAAGTGAAATCAAGCCCAGAGGACCAAAATAAGACCTTGAGTACCAAGATACAGCTCAATAAATCTTATTGGTGTGTTTTTGTTTTTGGGTGTGGTTTTTTTTTAATTATTTTATTTTATTATTTTTGTGTGTACCGTCAAATTGGATCTGACTGGTACAAGAGGAGTTTGGCCCTCCTTCTCCAGCAGAGTATCTGGTGGATTCAAACCATGCATCTCTGGAACTGCAGTGAAGCTTCTCTTGCCACTAAGCCACCAGAGCTTCCTTAATAAATATTACTGTTAAAAAAATAAAAAAGAAAAGATATATGTGAGCTAAAACTGTGCAATCCCCTTTCCATAAAAGTTAAAAGGGGGCCTGGAAGGTTTGGAGACTTGACTGAAGTCATAATAGCAATGATTACTCAAATTCTCTTGTGAACTCAATTTAAATGTACCTTTGAGCTGGCTTAAGAGGTTATTGTAGGTTTTTAAAAAGATAGCCAACATGTCCTAAAAGGGGAAAGCAAGACAAAACATCTGTATTAGTGGGTTATTGTGGTAGCTGGCAGGACATTTCAAAGGAATGAATATGGTGATGGTGGAAAAGGGCAATGATCATTAAGTCCCCACGGCCTTGGAGACAACAGTGTACCAATGTTGGGTGAACAAAATGTCAGGTGAAGACAGAGAAATAGAAAGCAAAAATATACAAGCTTTAAGGTGAAATGCAGATTAGAAGCTATGAATGGACATGCTCACCATGAAAGGGAAAGGGAGAAGCCAAGATGATACTAAGGATAGAGGTTTGCAAGCACACTTGTATATGCAGATGGGAGAGAAAAGGAAAGTGCTTAAAAAACCAAAAGGTAAGTTTTAAACATAAAAAGGGATATATGAAATACAGGGAAATCTGCAATTAGAATGGAGATGGAGTTGTAGGTCTATGTGAATGGATACATTCCTAAAAGGCTAATACTTAGCAATACAAACCAAAATAATGTATTGTTGATACTACAAAGCTCATCACAGGCATTTATTATAAACAAATTATAAATTATATGTCCTTTTACGATGCCGCTGCTGCTGCTGCTGTTATATGCCACTGAGCTGAAAACAACTCATAACTGACCCTCAAGCAGGTTTTCTGAGCCTGCAAATCTTACAGGAGGAGACTGTCCATCTTTTTCCTGAGGAACAGATGGTAGATTCAAACCTCTTGCCTTTGGGTTGGCAGCATAACTCCTCACCACCAGATCACTAGTGTTCCCTTATATAATACTGTTTGTGGTGGTGCTGCTCTTATGTAACATCAACTTGGAACCAACTCATACCTGACCCTCCAGCGAGTTTTCAGAGGTAGTTAAGCCTTTGAGAGGAGACTGCTCCTTTTTCTCCCTTGGAACAGCCAGCGGCTTTGAACTCTGTGTGTTTGTTTGGGTTGGCAGCCCAACTCTTTATCCAAATTCACTCCTATAAAGTAAATTCTGACTCAAAGAATCTCATAAAGACAGAGAACTGCCTACAGAGCTTCCAAGGCTGTAAATCTTTTTAGAAGCAAAGTGCCCCATTCTTCTCCCCTCGAGAGGCTGGTATATCTGTACTACTGTGAACAGTTGAATGCTTTAACCACCACACTACCAGGACACCTACTATATAATACCATGTTGTTCTTGTTGTACACTGTCAAGCTGACTTTGACTCACAGCAACCCTATCAACAACAGAATAGAATTCTGCCCTATCCTGCGCCATCCTCACAATCTCAAACATGCTCGAGGCCATTGTTGCAGTCACTGAGTTCATTAATCCTGTTGAGGGTATTCCACCCTTTCTCTAATCCTCCACTTTTTCCAAAGACTGATCCCTCCTGAAAACACGTCCAAAGTATCCGGGATAGAGTTTTACTATCTTTGCCCCTAGGAGTACATTGGCTCCACTTCTTCCAAAACAAATTGTTCTTTTTGAAGTCCTTATGATATTTAGCACTCTTCATCAAGACACAATTCTTTTGTTAGAATAATCTAACCCCACCTTTCAGATGCACATGAAGCAAGTGAAAATATCACTGCTTGGGTCAGGCACACCTACGCTTGTAAACATCCTTGCTCTTCAGCACACTCGAGGTCCTTCACAGATTTCCCCAATGCAACCCAACCTTTTTTTTTTTTTTGCAACACAACCTTTTATTTCAACTGTTACTATCATGGGTATTAATTGTGGACTTAAGTAAAAGAAAACAGCTCACGACTCCAATATTTTCTCTGTCTATCTGAGATTGCCCATTAATAAAGTGTTTTCTTGATGTTTAAATTAAATGTAAAGCCTTAGCCTTTGATCTTCTTCAAAAAGCGCTTTGAGTCATCTTCACTTTTTGCAAACAAGGTTTTATTACTGGCAAAAATAACACATGTTTGTGGATGAGTCTCCAATCTTAATGCCACATTCTTCTTCATATAGTTCAGCTTCGTGAATGATTTGCTCAGCAAACAAATTGAACAGGTATGGGATGTACATCTTTCCTGATTTTAAACTCGGCAGTGCTCCATTGTTCTGTTTGGACAAGTGCTTTTTGGTTTATATTCAGATTTCACAATCAAGTGTTCTGGGATTCCGATTCTTTGCAATGTTAGTCATAACATGTATGATCCACATAGTCAAATGTTGTTGCACAGTCAATGAAACATAAGTAAACATCTTTCTATTTTCATCAAGATCCAGCTGACATCAAGAATGATAGCTCTCATTCCACAGTCTCTTCTGAGTCCAGCTTAAATTTCTATGATGTACTATTGTTGGTGTACTGTTTTAGCCATTTTTGAATAATCTTTAGTAACATTTTGCTTGCTGAATTATGTTCTAACAATTTGCTTAAGAAAAATCTGGTTACATTAAAAAGAACTTTGAAGTATTCTTAATGGTAAAGAGAGGAAATTATACTTACAAAAAAATGCCTAGGATAATTAATGATATAGAAAAATGGCTTGATACATTGTTAAAAATAATAATCACTTGAGCTCAATTTGGCTTAAAAATGCTTTAAGTTATCTCCATATGGTGAGAGTAAAGGAGGTTTGAAATTTAAGAGTATGTATAAAAAGAGTATTAAAAATACTGATTTGTGTATTACTATTACCATATCATTGTTAATATTTTGACAATTATTTTTACTTATTTAATGTCTACTTAAAAATTTATTCACTCATTAAAGTATTATGTATTCAGTACTAACTACATCCTTGACACTACTGAGATAGGAAAAAACAAAATTTATGAACTGAGGTGATAAGGTCGCTGAGTCAGAGACAACTTGATGACACGTAAATAACACCATGAAATGTTCATACTACAGAGAAAGGTGGTATGCCATGTCCAGGTTATGGTTTTTGTAACTGCTTGCTATGCATCCAAGAGCTGGACAATGACTAAAGATGACAGAAGAAGAATGAATTTCTTTGGGTTGTGGCATTGAAGCAGAGTACTGAAGGACTTCCAAGAGGGCTATTAGGTCTGTCCTGGAGATGTTGGAGGTGAAGATTTTGAAATTACATCTCATATACTTTGGGCATGTGGCCAAGTGGGACCAGTCCTTGGAGAAGGACATCATGCGTGGAAAGACAATACAGGAGAGAAAGATGCTGGATGAGATGGATTGATACAGTAACTGTGGAAATGGCAGCAGCTGTGTTAGAGATGGGGAGATTAGCTCAGGGTTGTGGGCTATAGTTCATAGGGTCATTGTGAGTCGTAGTTGACTTGATAGCACATACCACCACCACCACAATTTTAAGCAAACTAAGACAAACAGTTGCATACACGTGTGGCAGAAAGGAGTGAAAGAGAGTCAGCAAGTGCAATAAAGCAAGCATTAGTTCCAATGTTAACAAATAGAGCAAACTGGACCATTCACAAAGTCCTGAGAGACTAAATATGGCACTAAATAAAAGCAAGATGGCTACATGTCCTCAGCATAATCACTGAAGAAAAGGCAGACCTCCTGGAAATCGAAGACTAGAATGGTAATGTGAAGAAGTAGGTAGCTTGTGAAGTATCTGACAGACTTGTATTATTCATGGGTGTGGTGTGGGAAAGGGAATGTGGTGTATTAAAAATAAGTGGGAGAAAAAGAAAAGAAAGCAAAACAGGATTTAGGTGGATAGCATCAGTGTCACATATTATAGGAGTTAAGGGCAAATATTTGTGAAAACAGTAAGGAAGAAGCTACTGATGAAGTTTTTGAGACATGAGTATCCTTTCTGGGATAGTATTTTTGCTAGTTAGAAGTCCTGTAGCTTTGGGAAGCTCTGGTGGCCTAGTGGCAAGAAACTGCACTGCAATCCCAGAGGCATACGGTTCGAATCCACCAGATGCTCTTCTGGAGAAGGAGGGGCAATCTCCTCCTGTACCAGTCAGATCTGATTTGATGGTGTGTGTGTACACACACACACACACACACACACACACACACACACACACACACACACGTCCTGTAGCTTCATAAGGCTAATGTAGCAGGACAGCATGATTAATGACTTGAGAATTTAAAAACATCTTAGCTCTGATGACAATATATGAGGGATCAGAACTACCAGCAGAGGTTACTAATGATCTTTTTTGAAAAATTTTTTAAAATTATTTTTTGTGTGTACTGTCAAATCAGATCTGACTGGTACAGGAGATTGTTCTGCTTTTTCCAGCAGAACTTCTGGTGGATTTGAACCATGCACCTCTGGGACTGCTGTGCAGGTTCTTGCCACGAGGCCACCAATGATGATTTTTTTTGTGCGTGTATACCATCAAATCGAATCTGACTGGTACAGGAGGAGACTGTCCCTCCTTCTCCAGCAGAGCATGTGGTGGATTTGAACTGTGCCCCTCTGGGATTGAAGTGCAGCTTCTTGCCACTAAGCCACCAGAACTCCCTTAATGATCCTTTTTATGAGATTTCAACAGTGGTAAATTTTAAATTGTAACCATGGAGAAAGCAGGAAAAATGCAGTTTTCTACAAAACTAAATGGGAAAGCAAGAGGAATCTGCTAGCTGTGTAATGCTGAACAAGTTAATTAATATCTTTATGGCTATTACAAATAATGGGGATAATGTGACCTACCACATAAGAGTTGCTTAGAAGTGAGGTGATGTGAAGCTTAAATGAGCTAACATAAAAAGCATTACAACACTCTCAGGCATCAGCTAAATCCTAGATAAACGTTAGCTGCTAATAGCTGTCAAGGGTTGCTTTCGATTCTAGGACTATGTCCTTCCTATTCTTGAAGTGTTAAAGTCAAGGGGAAAACAACTAGACTTGTAAGATCAGTAGGACATCTCAATTAGGTATTTTTTTCCACTGAGAAGTCAAAATGAAAAGTTACCAAAATTTCCTTTAAAAATCCCACACCAACCCTAAGTAAACGAAAAACCAAAACAAAACATCCCCCAAAAAAGAAAAAAAAGATAAACATGAAGATGATAATTTTATAAAACAACATGCCTATCCCAAAGCATGTTGTTATGTATAGCTAATCATAGCAGACCCACCCGTGGATTTTCAGAGGCAATGAATCACATGAGAGAAGACAGAAGACTGTCTGTCTTTCTCCCAGAGTAAATGATGGATTCAAATCACATGCCTTTGGGTTGGCAGCACAACTCCTAATCACTAAGCCACTAGTGCTTCTTTAGACATAATATACTTACCCTATATTCAAAATCTGCAAACTCTCGGCCCCCACGACCTCCTCTGAATCCACCACGAAACCCTCGAGGGCTGGCGAAGGTGCCACCCCTGCCATTTCCACGCCCTCTGCCTCCACGGAAGCCAAGACCTCCTCGGCCTCGGTAGCCGCCACGGCCACGGTTTGGACGTAGTGGGATTCCAAACGTCTCAGCATTTAATCTTCTTTCTTCAGCCCATGTTGGTCTCCGTTCTCTATTATAAGAACAAAAGATTTTCAAAATACTAATTCTCAGCCAAAATACATAGAACTCTTAAAATACTTACGGATAAATCTAAGCAGAGGAGATGAAACCCTTCTACAAAGAAAATGGTAATACAAAACAATTCTGAAAGAAATTAAAGACTACATAAGAAAATCTAACGTATGCCTGGTAGTGTAATGTGTAATATACTGGACAGTTAACCAAAAGGCTAGACTGAATCCATCAGGTGCTCCATAGGATAAACCCAATCAATCTCTTCCCCATAAGATGATTTTCCGCCTTGGAAATGAGCCATCTTGATGACAATGGGCTTGGTGAGTTTTTGGAACACAGATGAATAGATATCCCATATTCATGGACTGAAAAACTTAAGACTGTCATGATGCCACTACACAAAGGAAATCTACAAATACAAACACAACTAAAATTCCAACAGCCTCTTTTCATTTTTTTTTTAGCAATGGAAAAGCTTACCCTCAAATTCATATAGAAATTGAAGGAATCCCAAATAGTTAAAACAATCTTGAAAAAGAACAACAAAGGAAGATTTAAACTTCCTGACTTTAAACTATACTATAGAGCTATAGTACTTTTTTAAGGAGGCCATTTTGGCAAATAAAATAGAACTGAGAATTCAGAAGTAAACCCACACAATTAATTTTTTAAAAGAATGACAGGATGATTCAACAGGGAAAGAACAGTTTTGTCAATAAGATCACCTTATGCAAAGGAATGAACTTGAACCAATATTATGGATAAAAATTCATTAAGGCTAGACCTTGAATATTTTTGGTGGTACAGCACTGGTCTGTGGGTTGCTGTACAGAGGTAACTCGTGGTTGCTGTGATGCTGAAGCCTGTGACAGTGATGTGCCAATCGTGGTAATGAGCACCCATGGTGGACAGTGTTGGCTGGAGCTTCCCAACTAAATCAAGCCTGGAAGCAGGAGTGGCGTCCACTTCCAAAATGGCTTGCCTCCGGAAACTCTATGTATGAACAGTGCCCAGGCTGTTCGTTCATAGGGTCGCTATGAGTCGTCTAAGACTTGACGGCATTAAACAACAATAACAATGACGAAGACCAAGAGAGAGCTACGTTGGCCTAGTGGAAGGAAGCTGTGCTACCAAGCCGAAGGTAGGTGATTGTCATCTGTGACCCTCGGCCAGGTTCAAATTGTCTTCCTGTCAAACATTCTTCTAGGTGGTATAGCACTGGTCTGTGCGTTGCTGTACAGAGGTAACTCGTGGTTGCTGTGATGCTGAAGCCTGTGACAGTGATGAGCCAATCGTGGTAATGGGCACCCATGGTGGACAGTGTTGGCTGGAGCTTCCCGACTAAATCAAGCCTGGAAGCAAGAGTGGCATCCACTTCTAAAATGGCTTGCCTCCAGAAACTCTATGTACGAACAGTGCTCAGGCTGTTCGTTCACAGGGTCGCTATGAGTCGTCTGCGACTCGAAGGCATTAAACAACAACAACAAGGCTAGACCAGTGACCTAAATATATAATTAAAACCAGAAAACTCTTAGAAGAAAGCCTAGGAATACATTTTTAAGACCTTGCTATCTGATTCTTAGAGATTATACTAAAAGCACAATCAACAAAAAGAATAAACTGGACTGTATAAAAATGTAAAGCTTTTGTGTGTCAAAGAATTTTATTAGGAATGTGGTGAGATCATAAAACAGAAAAAAGATACTTGGAAATTATATATCTGTCAAGAATTTAACATCTTAAATATATTTTAAAAATTGGCAGAGGATATGACATTTTGTCAAAGAAAATATATAAATACAGATGCTCTACCGGAGAAGGAGGGTCAATCTGCTCCTGTACCAGTCAGATCCGATTTAAGAGTACACATACCAAAAAAAAAAAAGAAAAAAAAAAGGCCAATACACACATGGAAGATGATCAACAATATCAAAGAAATGCAAATCAAAACCATCAAAATATACTGTATACATATATCTGTAAATCTTCATTGAAATTAATAAAATTTAATAATAATAATTTAAAAAAATATTGCTTCAAATCCACTATTCACGCACACACTTCCTGCTGTTGAGCCAAAACTGACTCACAGCTGACTCTCCAAGCATGTTTTAAAGGCTATAAATCACATGAGAAAAGACTAATCTGTTACTAGAAAAATGGAAATTAACAAGTACTGTGGAAAAATTAGAACCCTCATAAAATTCTGGTGGGAAAACAAAGAGTCTAATGACCATGTAAAAGAACTTAATGTACCACAAACAAGTCAAACATAAAATTAAGTATTATAAATGAGTAATTCCCCTTTCTAGGAACTGAAAACAGGGATGTAAATAGATATGTTTAACAAATATTCATTTTCATCTTATTCATAGTAGCTAAAAATTGAGAACAGCTTAGATGTCAAACAATGGATAAATGAAATAATGGAATAATACTTATGCATGATGAGAAATACTACCCTTAACTGACAATTCTGACATATACTACAACATTAACCTTTAAAGTATTCTAAGTAAAATCTGTCACTCAAAAAGCAATAAACATGGTTATTATGTGCCAAGTCACTTGTGACTCATAGTGACCCTAATGTGTAACAGCTCTGAACTCTGCTCTATCCTGAACTGATTTTATTGTCTCCTACACACCTAACCCCATTTCCTCAATTACTGAATAAATTAATCTCATCCAAGGTATTCCTCTCTTGTGCTGTCCCTCCACCCTTCCAAGCATGATGTCCATCTCCAAAGACTGGTCTTTCCTGGGAACATGCTCAAATGATTTCAGATGAAGCTTCAAAATCCTTGCCTCTAAGGAGCAGCCTTGCTTCATCCTTTCCAGGATAAACCTGTTCTCTTAGCAATCCATGGCATACATATTTAATATTCTCCAGCACAACAAATCAAAGGCATCAATTTATCTCCTATTATCCTTAGTCACAGTCCACCTCTCTGATGCTTAGCAAATGACTGCAAAGACCATGGCCTGGATCAGGTGCACTTTAGTATCTAACCGACATCATTGTTCTTCAGTACTCTGGAAAGGTCCCTGACAGCAGATTTTCTCAATGCAATTTAACTTTTGATTTCCTGACAGTTGGTACCAAGAGCGTTGACTGTAGATTCTATTATCTGGGGGAGTCAGGCAGGTGTACTACTGTTGTCATGTGCCATCAAGTCAACTACGTTTCATAGTGACTCTGAATGGTTATATTAGTTGGGTTTCCAAGGTGACTGGGAGGAAAGGTAAAAGAGGGAATGAACGTTTAGGGGACACTGAGCTTCTATTAAGTTTGATGGAGAATTTGGAAATTGATAATGGTAACTAAAAACTAAAAAGACTGCTTAACACACAAAGGATTTGTTAAACACGCACCCACAATAAAAAAGTATTAAACACAGAGTAACTATATACCTCATCAACTCCAAACTGAGGTTGTACAATAGTCAAAAGGTAAAAACAACTTGGTGGCCATCAACAGATTAACGGGCAAACAAAAAGGTCTACATCATTTTAGAAAATGGAATATTCCTAGAATAGGAGAAGAAATTCTGACATTTTATGCCACAAAAAAAAATTGAAAGTATGCTATGTGAAAGAAGTTGGTCACAAAAGGACATGTACTTCATGATCCTACTGAAATATAAAACCCCAAAACAAAACAAAACTCAAATCTACCACCCTAAAGTCAATTCTGACTCACGGTGATTCCCTGTCCCAAATAAAATTTCCGAGGCTGTAAATCTTTAAGAGGAAAATGTTTTATATTTCTACCATGTAGTGGCCAGCTGATTTGTTAGCAGCCTAATAAACAGTGCACTACACCACCAGGATTCCACATCAAAGAAAAACATACACTGAAAAGTGCTTACCAGGGGGGCAGGGAGGAGGCGTTGTTAAAGGATTAATTTTGTTTGACAGGACAACACCATGAAGGTAATTAATGTCACTGAACAGTATAATTAAATATGGTTAAAATACTAAACTTTCTGTTACATATACTTTATAGCTAAAAAAAAAAAAGGAGGACTCACTATCAAAATCAGGTGAAATAATTTCCGAAGAAAACAAGCATATAATATTATTTAAATCATCATAAACTAGGAATTAAATATGCTCCTCTAATACTACTAAAATTAATTCAAACATATGACTTATACTTGTTTCATGTTGTTGTTATGTGCCGTTGAGTCGCTTGCGACTCATAGCGACCCTATGTACAACAGCCCTAAACTCCGCTCTGTCCTGTGCCAATCGCACTGTCTCTGACACTCCCATCCCGATT